TTTTAAAAAAAAAAAAAAAAAAAAAAAAAAAAAAAAAAAAAAAAAAAAAAAAAAAAAAAGAAAATATTTCTTCTATTTCAGCATGGACTGAAGGACAAACATAAAGCTCTTGTTTGCCCAGAAGATGCACTGCTATTAACTAGCAGGCTTGGTGTGGCTCTATAGGTCTGCTGTACTTAGAACATGGTCTTGGGAGTTGAGCTGCCTGAATGGAGCTTTCCATGAAGACCTATGCTGGGCACTGTTAGAGTGTGACCCTGAGCACTGTCTTCATGATAAGAGGGGCATATCAGGCCTCCCTAGCACTCTGGTTTTCAACAGAGCACCTGCCAGTCTGGGAAGAGTGAGAATCCCAAGGCTCTGCCCCATTAGAGCAGAATCTCTCTGGTTGAAGTCTCAATGGCTTCTAAACTCTGTAACGACTGCTGTAGAAGAGAAATAGTCTTGCTATCCACTCTAATCTTTAACTTGCCAGGATTCTAGAAGACTATAACCCAGTAGCCAGCCAGGAAAATATTTAAGGCCTGGGGAAGAGTAACTTGGAACTCACCAATCTACTTAGCTTTTGCTGTTGGTTTAAAATGCAGAAATGAGCAAGAACTATCAGTTGCTCTGAACCAGGAAATATGTCTACATGTTAAGAAAGCCTCAGAATCACTTTTCTTGGTTTAGTAGGGAATAAACAAGATTGTTAGATCTTGCAAAAAAAGAACTGTTCTTAGCAATTAGGTCAAAGTTCTTAGTTCAGGAAAGTCAATGTGAAATGAAGTGGTTTTAGTTTAAGAATCTATCTATTCTGATCAAAAATATACTTGAGTGGAAGGGGGCAAGGAGATAAATCAAGCTTGATTTATGTAGTAACAACTTTTTTGGATTTACAAAATTTGTCAATCTGTCTTAATAATAAATGACTTATTTTTCCTCGCCTATGAAGAAAGCTACAATCTTTTTTTATCAAATGCCACAAAAGTAAAAGTTAGTAATACTGTGTTGCTAGAAAGTGATGTAGTGTTTTTTTTCCACCTTGATTTTCCTATCAAGTGTTCCAGCTGACATGTAAATTATTTAGAGTGGTCTTATGATATCATATGCATGGTCCATCCCCCAAACTGGTACACGATGAGAGAAACTGTGGTTCTGATGCATTACTACAGGTGAGAACAGCAGACACTACCTCCAGATGTAAACGTTTGCCATCTCTTCTTGCAGAGGCTGTGTGTTTCTGGATAAGGGGCACGGTGGTCCTAAGCATGCAGCATGCACTGCCAGAGCATCTGTAGCCACAGCCAGGCAGAGGAAAGTAGGGGCCATGCAAGGGCAAAACACAACAAAAACCAAACCAACAAGGAAATACAAGAAACAAAATAAAAAACCAGAGATAGTCTCAATCTTCCCTAAAAACCAAAACTTATTAATATTGCACCAATCTGAAGAACATAAAAGACATTAAAAACAAAGTTTCCTTCAGTGGTGTACTTTGAGAAAACGATTAATTCCCCAAACAAAATAAACAGACCTTTCCCATCAACGATTCTATAAAACCAGAAAGACTGACAACAGAAAGTACTTATTTCAAAGAAGGCCACTGTTCGATATTTCCCAGTATTTTCTAAGAATGTTAACAGGTACCAAACAAAAAACAAAAGAATACCCTAGGTAGAAATGTGAAGAAATGCTTAAACAAAGTAGGCTTTTCCACTTACAAACTTCTCAGAGCCTTTAATATGCCAGTGGCTACTGTGATGCTCCCTGAGGGAACCAGTTTTGCAGCACTTCCCACCCACTGCTTGCTTTCAGAGTGCCTTTACTCTCAGAGCAGGTCCTGAACCAAGTGTGCTGAAGACAGCTCTGGAGGACGCACTCATCTAGGCCACCCAAATCCTCTCATTTCCAGAGGAAAAAACTAAAACTAGGATCAAAGTTGTCTTTCCTTAATCAGATAGGGGCAGAGTCCAGAACTCAACCTGCTTTTCATTATAATTTGAAAATTCTTTAAGAGAGAATCCCATTGGAGTAATAATAGGTAGGAAAATTAAAGAATCTCCTACTACTGAAAAAAACTTTCATAACCCATACAGAGAAATTATAAAAACCAAAAAGGTAATTTCCCCCAAAATACTCTAATACGTTCATCCAATTAAAAAAACAATGATAACTCAAAAGAGTCTCTGATTGATTAGTTATATAATTTATTGAACTGGTCAAAAAGTAATAGGGAATTTCTTACCTTTCCCTCAGAAACCCATACCAGCTGGTTCTGTTGTTGCTGAATTGCTTCTTTCAGTGCACCATACCAGCCATCATTCATTGAATTTAAGTTAATTGTAGCTGAAAATAAATTAACAATGTAGTTTTATGGTCAGAACACTGCCAAAAATGAGGGGAATTCATTCAGTCCTGCATAGAGATCAGTCATCATTATTGAAAAGATGGTATTTGAGGATATAAATATTTGAAATTTCTATTTTGGCACTGTACATTTTCTTTCCACCAAGCAGCAGCTGTTAACACAACAGGGAGCTTTCCAAGCAAAGGTCATCTAAGTTTTAGCATTTGAACAACACAACATTCTCACATATTGTTGCCCAGATATTTTAAGCTAAAAGAAGGCTTTAAAATACTCACTTGTAAAAAGATGGTGATTATTTTTACGAAGTTTATGAGACCTCTCATATAATTTTCTGGCACTTTTCCGAGATTCTGGACATAACCTCATTCTCATTGTTTTCACACCTTGTTTAGAATCAGGGTTAAGGAATACAACAATTGGATACCACTGGGCATAATTAAGACGATCAACTGCATTTGGCGTCACATCTAATAAAGCATGCTTGTCCTGGAGACAGAAAGAAAAGCATACACAAAGATACAAATCCTCACTTAAGAATCATCCCTTTCAGAAAAAGTCAAAGCCTATATTACATTTCAATGGTAATGAACTTTTAGTTGTGTTCCAATATGTCTCAAGAGCACATGCTAAAAAATTTGTAATCAGAAGTTAACAATACAATTTCTAGCCCATTAAAAAATAAAAACCTTCTTAAACAATTCACTTTTAAGACTTGGCCCTAATACTGGCAAGCTGACAGTTACTATCTCTGTTCACTTAGAGTGAAAATGAGTATAAGAATTTAATGTTCCTGACATTCCCTATGCATATAAATATCAAAATGCAACTTAAATTGTACTGATGTAATATAAAAAGTCTGTTAATTACATCAAAACAGCATATGCTTTTTATGTAGTAATGAATAATCACCTTTTGATGTCTGTAATAACTATTTCCTTGAAAGTGATTATTAAAATTATAATGCCTTTTAGTTAGGATTTAATTTTCTTATGGTATATCAGTAATAATTGTAGAAAACCTACCTTCTACTTTCAAGTTAACCAAATACCATCCTACTCAAAAACACAATCACAGCTTATGAAATAAGTAAACTTTTAATAACTTACTTGATCTATTATTTGCTTTATTGTATGAAGGCGAATAATGCCAGAGCTACGTTGGTCAGTTCCAGCATCTCGTGGTTCACTTTCTATTCATGAAATCAAGACAGAAACAAAACATCAAATTTCCATTGGTTAGAACAGAGTTTCTTAACTACAGGGTACCACTGACATGATGGGCTGGATAATACTTTGTTGTAGCTGCTATCTTGTGCATGTGGCCTGTTGAGCAGCATTTCTAGAGTCTTCCCACTAGAGGTCAGCAGCAGCCAACATCTGCCTTCCCTAATCCTGTTACCCATTGTGACAACCAAAACTGTCTCCAGACATGGCTATTTTGATGCAGTATTTAAAAAAAGAAAGAAAGAAAAGAAAAAAATCCAAATTAATGCAAAAAAAAAAAAAATCCACAATCAACATATCAAATTTTTAAATAGAATCAATCAGTATGTGAAATGAGTAAAAATTATTTAAGACTATTACTTGGTCAAAATAATTGTCAAATATGGCAGGTCTCTCCAATGAAAATGAGATAAAGAAGATTCTTAAAATGGTGTTCATGAGCTTGCTCTGATTAAATCCAGGAAAGTAAAATTATAATGAATTCTGTGTTTGGTATAAATAAAATATTTAAACTTAAAATAATGTGAATTTTAATATGCATACTTTTCATTTTTTTCCAATATTTTTCCAACCGTTTTAATGTTGGAAAAAAATTAGCCATTAAAAAATTCATGAACATGATCTAGAGATGTACATATTTTCTTTTGCCTGAGGCTCTAATATGGCTCAGCATGGCATTACTTCCCAACCTTTCTCACACTGCGACATACACAGAAAATGCTATCATTTGTATGGTACACTGAGATAAACTGCAGAGCCCCATCCAACCACTGTGGGCTGAGGAGATCAGTATCTTGGCATGTCCATAAGCCATCAGTGACAACACTACAGCAGATTGCCAAGGGAGCTCTGAGTTAGAGACCTTGTTACATCAGCAGAAGGGGAACCTGGGGGCAGGGAAGGCTGTTCAGCAGTAATAGGGTAGATAATCTATGGCTTCATCCTAGTAACCTGTCCTTCTCCACTGGTGTAAAATATGCCAAATACGGCTTGGGGCTGGTTTCCAACCTACAATCTCAGAAGCCCAGTTTACGCGAAGTTCTTCACTAAAAAGATACAGCAATGTTTGTGTCTCTGGTAACAAAGAAAGTTTGAACGGAAGGGAAGAGCTCTGGTGTTTCAGATCAGATAAAGGCATAGACTGAAAGGACAAGGCACACTGAGAGACAAGGTGAACGATTTCAGAATGAGACTATCATGAGACAAAGTTCCATGGGCAAGCAGGGCAGAATTTCAAAAGTGGTAGACATAAGGAGAATTAAGGAGAGAAATCAACTGGGAGTTTTGGTTGAAGAAAATGCTACTAACTCCTCAACTCAAAAGACTCTCATTAGATTCAAAGAGGATACATAACTAAGCTACCTGAATCCCTTTTATAATAGCCCGATTGTGGAGGAAACCCAATTAAACTGATCTACTACCCCTGAAGGTGGAGCTCTGTAAGTCTTCACACTTGCTTTTCCTCACTTTAAAAACTCTGAATTTGGTTATAAGTGGTGCCACCAACAATTTCTTCACATGAAGTGTTATCTACAATGACCAAAAAAGACCTCTTCTGAAAAACTTAAACTGAGTAGGGAAACACAAACATTTTCTAATTTGCTCAAATTTATTGTGATCTGTCTGAAAAATCTTCTGATTTTTAGAAAATAAATATTCTCATTTGACTTCATCAGTAGCCAAATGAAAAGCAGTATTTAAAAAAAGGCGATGTTCTGGTTTTTTTAATTAGCACTATGTATTTTTAAAGTGTTAATGAGAGTCTCATATAGTGCCGCTGGGAACAAGAAAAACCCAGCACAACCCTCTGGAAAGCAGTAACAATTACACATATCGACAGCCAGAAAATGTTCCTTCCTATCTTGTGGAATTTGGTCTAAGAAAATCATCGTAAATATGGAAAAAGCTATATTCTTGAGGATTTAAATCCTTTGAGAAACGAGGCAGAGCATAAACAAGCAAACCAAATATGGACAGATTTCTACATCCTTTGTAATAGTAAAATATGAATTTGAAACAATCTAAACAAAAGAAAGGCTAATCAAACCACAAACTGACTGCAGGAGAGAAAATAAAATGAAAATATGCCATTATTTACTAAGAAGGAAAACAGGATATAAACTTTTCTAAACACTACAAATAAAACTTTGCAAAAACATCCTTACAAATGGTGGAAAAAAATACAATGGGGTAAAATTTAGGGTGGTGATGATATATGTCAAAATTAAGTTTCTAACTTTTCCAAATAGAGAATATTTTTGTAATTAGAAAAACATAGCTTCAGCTTTTACATATAATTTAACGCAAGCCAAAGTGGTCATAACTAAGTGTGTATATTTAAATTACCATAACACCTAAACTAATGAAACAAAGGATCTGTAAGCAAAATCTACTAGGCATATAAAGCACTGCAGCCTCAATACTTATTTACACTTAATATGACCTTACTGTCTTCAATAGCTGATACCATTAATCATGCTTCACTACCCTTTTTACATATTTGAGTATTTCTGTTAGTTTAATGACTAAAACCACTGGATCAGAGCCAGAAAGGGCTGGAGTCAAAGCCTGGTTTTGTCACTCATCAGCTGGCTGTCATCAGGAAAGTTCAGACTACAGAGAATGGTGATGATCCCAACCATAACCACCATAAGGCTCAGGTTGCTCAACTTTAACAAGGATATCTTAATTCTCACCTCACGATGTTACTGTGAGGATCCAACACGATCATGTGCTAAGCAGTTTTCATAGGAAGCCAAGAGTTTTGTAAATGGTGATTTTTCTTATTAAACAGAACTGGTAGACCAAACCAAGGACACTTCACTCAGTGTCTCCTTCCAAATTAAAAGAATGGGGTAAACTACAAATTTGTCACTTACAAAAAGTTTTATTTTTATTATGTAAACGGACTGGACTTATCCTTTTAGAGGAGTAACCGGTAAAGAAACACCCTAACTAAACCTTACGTTAAGTCAGCCTTCAGTCTACTTACTTGCAATCTGGTAAATATCTGGTTCTTCTCTTGCCAGCTTTTCTCTGGCAACATCAGCTATTGGTCCAAAGATGGTTACAGGCCTCAGAAATCCAGCTGGGGAGAAATTCAAATGAAAAACAGCATAGTTTATACTTTCTCTTTCTTAAATACTACATTAAAGGACATTAGGTTAGTCTATGGAAAATACACTACCTTCTCGAAGAACAACCCTTTCATAAGCTGGAAACTTTGTCTGAACCGGCTGAGCTGACAAATCCTCTCTGCTTTTTCGAAGATTTCTCTTGGAACTGCGAAGACCTCGGAATCTCCAGAAGTCAGCACGGTCTCCTCCTGCTGTTTTTGGAAGTGTGTACTGTACACTGGCTAATTGCTCAGCTCTACACAAGAAAAGATAATAATAAGGGTATTTAAAAAACAGAAGGGAGAAAGACCAACAATGAAGTGAAATATCAAAATATTGTATAGAAGTTCACATGCAGTTTAAATCTTAATGGTTAAAAATAAAATAGCAAGTAGTTTGTACAACTAAGTCAACTATGGATATGGTGAATACAATAAAAAATAATTCTTTACATTACCAAAATTTCCCAGTGGGAATGAAATCTTCTATCATCATTTACTTAATTCATTCTATGAGAAATATCCAAACATTCATACCTGTTCTTATTAGGAATGATGCCTCGTTCTACCTCCTTATGATTTTTGCCAATTCGAATAGCAAGCCAAGAGCCCAGTTTTCCATTGTACAAGGTATCCACGACACGGAACACCTCTCCTTTGTTAAAACTAAGTCCATAGGGAGATTCCTTTTCATATTCAAAATGAGTTCTAATATAGAAAGAATCTCCTACATCTGATTCTACAATGCGACGATAGACTAAAAGGAATCAAAGCAAACACGTTATTAACACTTAGAGGAATAAGAAATTAATCTGAATATATTATGAGAAGATGCTGCTGACAATATTAACAACAGTATTCGACAAATGCTGAATTCTTACTATGTGTCAGTTATCATACTATTTTATCTCTTGTACTCATCACCATTATCTCATAAAATGGGAACTCTTTTTTTTTTTTTCCCTTTTTGTCTTTTTTCTTGACCGGCAACGGATCGCAACCCTCAGTGTCGCGCCCGTACCGGACCGGGACCGGCAACGGGATCGCAACCCTCGGCGTTGCACCCGCACCTTGCTCAGCCAGTGAGCGGCCGGTCTGTATGTGGGATCTGAACCCTCGGCGGGAGGGCCGCCATGCTCCCAAGCGGCGCACTGTAGCAGTGCGCCACCGGGCCAGCCCTAAAATGGGAACTCTTAGTACCTCCACTTTGCAGATGAGGAACCTGATACAGAAACAGATCAAGTAACTTGTCCAAAGCCACACACTTGCTAGTTTCTACTGAGTTATCTGCAAAAATTATAGACATTCCCATATTCTAAAGTAGAGGTTCTCAAATGAGGGCAATTTTGCCCCCCACCCTCTCTGGGGACATTTGCCAATATCTGGAGACATTTCTGAATGCTGCAACTATGTGTGCTGAAGGGAGAAGAGGGTGTATGCTAATGTCATCTCACCTAGTGGCTGGAGGCTAGGAATGCTCCTAAACATTGTGCAACACACAGGACAGCCCCTAAATCATAGAATTATTTGGCCCAAAATGTCGATAGTGTCTAAGTTGAGAAGCTCTGTTCTAAATGAAAAGTGTATCTGCTTCACCACAGAGAAAATCAGGTATCCTCTTGAATTAATGCTATGTAACATCTGAGTATATTGCTTAGAAAACATCAGAACAAAATCTGGAAGCTGCCCATATTTTGTATGGTTCTGATGGCTAATCAACAAATAGAATTTTACTATGACTTATAAAGGGTTGGATGGCATTTTACTTAAAATTAAAATGCCATAAATGTTGGTCCTATTAATTATGCTCTGCTAATGAACGTAGTGTAAGATTCTGTGCCCCTAAATAAAATTAACTCTCTGAGATTAACAAATTCATTCACCATTCAACTTAGAGTGATTTATTCTAAAAAACAGAATAAATCCCTACTTAAATACTCAAACTCCTACAGGTTTATTTTCTTCATATTGACAGTATCTCACCATCCTTCTTCTTCTGAGCCAAGATGGTCACTTCTTCTCCTTTAGGAAGGTCGAGTAGGAAAAGCACAGCCTCTTCTCTTATAATATTTGTGAAATCTACATTGTTTACCTATTAAAATAAGATTTCATAAATTACTCTTGGCTGGCTTTTAAGAATATAAAAACATTTATTTACACAAGAAACAAGAGAGTCCACCAAATTTAAAAATATCATCTTTAAGAGAGAGAAATTTACTTCAGAGAAAAGAAGATGCTTTAATTTACAACAAGCAGAAACCAAGTAAATAAAGTGAGTAAAGGCATAAATTCACTTAAAGAACAGTCATAATGTATTCTGACATTAAAGAACATCTATTACAAAATCTAACCAATTTAAACCAAAAAAGGAACTTCCAATTCCAAATATTTATTATTATTATAAAATATGGCTTTAGGGGGCCGGTCCGGTGGCACACTGCTACAGTGCTCCGCTTGGGAGTGCGGTGGCGCTCCCGCCGAGGGTTCGGATCCCACATACAGACCGGTTCCCGCTCACTGGCTGAGCGAGGTGTGGGAGCAACACCAAGGGTTGCGATCCCGTTGCCGGTCCCGGTCCGGTACGGGCACGACACTGAGGGTTGCGATCCGTTGCCGGACACAAAAAAAGACAAAAAAAGGAAAAAAAAAAAAATATGGCTTTAAAATTTTAAATTATAAATTCTGTGAATGTACAATACAGCCCTATTTTTTACTGGGCACTGAAAAAGAAATGAAAAGAAAATGGGATTTTAAAAAAAGATAATATGCATTGTGGCATCCCTGAAACAGCATCTGTGTAATGTAGGTTCAATGTATACCAAGTCAATATTCACTTATATTAGAAGCTCTTAAGTGTTGAAATGAAACTTATCGAAATATCCTCAGTGACTATGTGCAGGACTACAGGTGGATTTACTTCCTTCCACGTTTTAGAAAGTTTTCGAATTAAACAAACACATACTACTTTTACAATATAAAACAAAAATGAACTATTAAGGAACATTTTTAAAATAATGTATACCCTGTTTACTTCAAAACAGGATATGAGGTGGGTATGAGAATAGATCTGTTTAATTTCCTTTGTATAGTGAACATCATTATACATGTTGTGCTGAAATGTTTTTTATTTAACTGGATTGAGAAGAATGTAAACATAGCAAAAGAATCGCAATACAATGTCAGATAGAAATCAGTAAGTTGGGGATGACACCTTGACCTTTTGACATGCTGAGTTTGAAGGGAAAGGAGGAGGACACCAGATGAAAATGTCTGAAGGGGCGCAGGAAATTGCTGAGTGAAAAGATTCAGATTATGGGCTGCTCACTTGAACAACCAAACCTGAGATAGAGACTGTGTAGCAAGAGAGAACAAGGAGCTACTGACATTCCTCAAGTTTTAGAAGAATCAGTGAAGAAGGTAGGAAAAGAACAAAAAAGGTTACAGGAGTACCAGAATGGCAGTGTTATGGAATTCAAGGAAGAAAGCACTTCAAAAAGGATATATTTAAGTCAGTCAAAACAGTGCTAAAAAATAAAGGAAAATGAAGGTTGAGGTTGACATTAGGTCAATGTTGGCTTATGAAAATTGGGATTCAGTAGTGGTTAAGGTGGAAGCCAGACTGTAAAACTACATGACCACAAGGACGGAATAGAACACAGGGAAGGGACTCAAGCACACCTTCAATAAGTTTAACAGAGAAAGGGGAGAAATAAGACAGTGGAAGACTGATGAACTACAGAAGAGAGAAAGAAAGAAAAAAAAAAAAAAAAAAAAAAACAAACTGCAAGATTTTGAAGCAGAAAGGAGTCTGAACTCAAGACATAGGGAAGAGGCAGGCTGAGTGCAGAAATAGACCAGAACAGAGGTGGCAAAGACACTCTGAGAGGCAGAGTAAATGCAGGAACTCCCACCTGATAGACTTAATCTTCTGATTAAAATATGACAAAGTCTTTATACCACAAATTTAATGGGTGTTTGGATATTTTAAGAAGAGAAGTAAGATGTAAGTAAGAAGTAAGATGTAAATAGTATTTATTCTGTTACTCGGCAACACTGCTTATGGCAAAAAAAAAAAAAAAAAAAAAAAAAAAAAAAAAAAAAAAAAAAAAAAAAAAAAAAAAAAAAAAAAAAAAGACCCCATTGGTAGACTGCATCTAACCCAAGCTCTTCTGACTTTTGCAACTGATCCTGTCCCTTGTGGGGTATGAAGCTTCAAAGCCCAGACAGCTTACGTATTTGCCTGATGTGCATTCCATCTCCATGTGCTGAGCCATTATCTGGGGTGAAGAAGGTCCCAGAGGCTGTGTGGACTGCTTCAAAAACTACTCCCATGGGAGAGGAACACCTGGTGTTGCTTGCTGGTAAGCTGTGGCACATGGCAGAGTCTTGCCAGTCTGAATGTTTAGTTGAACTTTTAAAAGACTACCCTGTAGGTATTACAGTGATCTAAGACTTATTTTCTTGTAGGTTATATCATCACCAATGACTGAAATGAAACATCACACTGCGCAGTAGCATGTAACACAGCGGTACACAAGAGCAAGTATAAGCAGTGAGAAGTGACAAGTCGAGCAGGAGCTAGACCTGATGGATTCTTAATTTGAAAGTTTAGCTGGTTCACGAAATTGTACACAGATTACAATCTAATTACAATAGTACGTCTGCTGTATTTGATGCCTTTTTTCTAAAGATCCAACTACTTTCAAACCCATATAAATTGACATACTGACATACCCTGAGAATTTGATCACCTTCCTCTAACCCTTCTTTGGCTGCAGGGCTATCTTCTAGAACACCAGCTACAAATATTCCGACATCATTTCCACCAGCCAGCCGTAAACCCACACTATCTCCTTTTCTGAATTTTACCAATTTCATGCTGGGCCTGTTAAAAGATATTTCATTTGAAAGAGTTAAGCAGCAGCTGAAAAGTTACAGCAAATTGCAACAATGAAAAACATACTCGATGAAATAAAGAACCATCATTTCTAATACTTCCCACATACCACTAATTTATTGAATAAAATTTAGGGTTAGAATTCAAATCAGATTTAATAGCACTTTTTATTTTCTGATTAACAAAATAAGTTTTTAAATATCCAAACAATACACAAGTACTGTTTTACATAACTAATTTATAAAATTACTTTATAAAATAAGGTTTTCCCAAATTTCAAAGTCTTGGGTATGTATGGTACATTTCCAATGGCTATCTTCCACCCCAATTCATACCATATCATCTCTACTGAATAACTGAAAAGTCCTATTTTATAGAGGTAGAAAGTGAAGCACAAATTGACTAATATTTCTAATATAGAAGAGTCAAAATCAGGCCCTAAGTATTATGATCTCTACATCCAACAGACAGCAGTGATTTTTAAACTTTGCAGGTGGTGGACTCTATCAGTAGTTCACAGAGTTCATTTACTCTAATGCCCATTTAAATTTTAAAATAAAAATCTTATCATTCAGCCTTTCTGGATTACCCTATATCCAATCTCTGCCCCTTTCTTCTTAGAGAGGGAATGGGAAGGAAGTAAGACACGCATATCCCTCTATCACTACTGTAGTGCTGAAACCTTGTGACACAGTTAAAATACTGATGGATGCCTTAGAAGAATGGCTGGGCAGAAACAGATCATAATTATACATTACCCTTTATATTTCCCTTCTAGGTTTTCATAACTACCCCCACATTCCCAGCCAAGACACATTGTTTTACCTATTCTGAAAGAAAAAGTCCCTTTCCTCTTAATTCACTAAGTAATAATAACCAAATTATTAGAAACTTACAGAAAATAACTTTAAAAAGCCCCAAATCAAATCAATCAATCAATCAATAAATGAGTTAAAGAGGAGAGATTTCTAGTACTTTTAAACCAACTATCTAAAGACTGTCTTAACTTACAAGGTATTCACCTTTAACCTGGTTTCCTGACCGGGAACTAACATTAGCTAGATATAAAGAACCTGTAGGTTAGATGAGGTCTCTTGCTGCCAGGAATGCTGGCATCCTTGATCCCTCCCTGAAACTACTTACCAGCTTTATCATGGATGGTCTGAGTCCCTTGCTGTGGTGATATGTTACTTTTTCAACCAAGTCAAAAGCATTCTCACAGACTCCTCTATACAACTATACAGAACAAACTACACAGAAAGCTCTTTAAACATTTCCTCAAAGTCCTTAAGACTCCAAGTCCTTGGAAATCATCTTCTAACACTGACCAATCTAGTGTGCTTCAAAAAGTAAAAAGAATTGAATGTAGTCTGCACCATCTAGCAACACCTGGATTTTGAAAACCACTGTTAGAGGACAGCTTCAGGCCAAATCTCACAGTGTCATATGCCCTAGGTAAGTGACTTTATACTTTGTCCTATCTGCATAACATCGACTACTGTACTTGCAATAACAAAAAGTAGACCCACTATTTATGCCTCACATCCATCCACTGGATTTGAATAAAAAAATAAATCTTTCCTGGCTCAGCTACTAATCTCACCCACATCCTCAAACCCTCTTTGGTATCTGTTCTGTAGGGCTCTCCCAGGGAAGGAGCCCTCTGGAATCTTATCCTTAAAGTTTCCTAAATCTTAAAGACATAAAAGTTTTCAAGCAATTCCCAAGAAAGGAAAAAGAAGGGGACAATGCCATTACAACTTATAAAAGTTTGCGTTATCAATTACCTAGCACTAAAAATGTACGAACTATTTCCCTCTGCCTAGCTGGGTCTTCAAGTAACAACCCAATTTTCTGCAGCAGAGAAAATAAATGAGAACAAGGAGGTCTAGATCTAATTCACTTTAAAAATCTGCTAGTTTTCAATTATTCATATCATGTCCCTTTTACTACACAGGAAACAAAAATCTAATTTTGATGACGACGACAGTTTGAAATGTGCTTACAAAATTTTCATCTTAATTCCACCAAGTATAAAATATAAAGTAATAAAAGGTGTGGGATTATCAAAAACTTACTTTTGAGTTGCTAACTAATGTAGAACAGGTTCTCAAATGGGTGATTGTGCCCCAGGAAACTTTTGGCAATGTATGGAGAGATTTGTGGTTGTCAAAACTGGGGGAGTGCTACTGGCATCTAGTGACCAAGATGTTACTAAACATGCCACAATATACAGGACAGCTCCCCACTCCACAATAAACAACTACCTGGCCCAAAATGTCAATAATGCTGAGATTGAGAAACACTGATTTTTTTTTCCTTTCTTTAAATGCTAGGCTTTAGAAAGCTTGCGGAAATTCTGATGTCTGAATAGAAAACAATTTTTTACTTTTGTAGTTCCTGACCTAAAAACTAGGTAGGAGACAGTGGTGAGAAAGAAAACGTCCAAAAAGTTTCTTTCATTATTCTCTAATCTCTAACTGACTCTATCATATAAGAGACTGTTAAATAAAAAAAGAAAGAAATTAACCACAGCGGTATATACTATTTTAAAAAGTATATGCAATATGGTTTGCAATTGAATTCTCACTCTAAATGTGCTTAACAATGGATAAAGAAGACAATACAACTTCAAAGTTGCTTTACCGAAGAATCCCATCTTCATGAGTTGAATTAGGTAGGACACCATCAGATGGACTGACAGGTAAATCCACATCTGGTTGTCCAACCTGGGCATACACAGGCTTTGGTTCTAAGAGAAAGAAAATTTAAATTGTGCAGGACTCACTTTATAAAAACATGGAACAATAATGTAAGCAACCAGTGAATAGCCAAACAATAAAAAGCCTACAAAATGTATATGATTTATCAGCAAAAATAAGTTTGGAAAACCTGAAAAGGAACATACATATTACATGTCTTAAAGTACATTTTAAGTTATAAATTCTGAAGTCTTTATAACAAGTATGCATGTTACATGACCACTTGTGCTTTCCACAGATCCAACTGTTAGGGTTTGAAAAATGTATTCTCTAGGAAAGAATAGATTTAAGAACCATGTTTCTCTTTAAGACTGTCCTAAAGTAGCCACCTTTCCTCATTATGGTAAAATTTGTTTTTAAATATCCATATTCCTGCCACCAACCAAGCAGAGCAACACAGAGACCTGAGAGAAGGAAATGAGACACATTAGAAACAAAATCTCCAAGCCTTTTGGGCAACCGATCTTAGAACCTTGCAGGTTTTTATGTCTGGTCCTCATTTATAGCTTTATAAGGTATATTTGAAAACACATTAAGTAAATTAACTTTTGTTTTTAAAAACTTAAAGCCAATCTGATGTTTCTCTTTAATGAGAGGTTTGGAGAACAACCTTACTAACTGCAAGTAGCTGTAAATCATGAATATTTTCTATCTAGGAGATAAAGAAAAACATTCATAAAAGGCTACTAAACCATGCCAATCTCCTATCCATAAAGAAAATGCTGGAAGTCATACACAGAAAAATTCACACATGTGTAATAATAATAACTGCATCTTTAAAATCTTCTGTAAATCCTGATAATTACTTTTGTCTGAATGCAAATGTTTTATAAACTTACTATTTTGTTAAGCTTACCTGGAAGAGTAGGTGTTTGTTTCTCATTTCTTTCAACTGTAACTTCTTCCACTGTTTTAGGTGTGTGATCATCTGTATGCTTTACAGGAGTTGAGATAGCCCCAGGTTTAGAAATTCTCTCTTCCTCTCTGCTCCGGAGACTATACATTATTAAAATAAAAAATTAGGAGCATAAGGATGATTCTGAAAATCATTATAAGAGAACAGTATAAGAAGAGGCAAGACAACTTCAAAACACAATGACAAGAGACTTGCTGTAACAGTTACCAAAATATTATAAAAACATTGTAATTAAGAGCAGCATTACCATAGAAACAGATGAATAGATGAATGTAACAAAACTGAAATGGAGAAATATATCCACAGTAGCAAAATACATTACAAAAGTAGCATTCCAAAACTGCTGGAAAAGAAGATACTATTTAATAAATGGTAGTGAGACAACTGTCCGCAAATTCAGAAAAAATATATCCCTATGCATATCAATGACAAAAATAAATTGATTTCAGACGAAATAAAGTCCTAAGCAAAAAAATTTTAAACATTTATATGATTGAGAATAGAAAAGGCAAGGCCTTTTTTAAAAAAAAGACTCAATACACAAAAGCCACAGCATATCAACAAAAGTAATTACAAAAAATAAACGAAGTTAAAAGACATGCAAATAACTGGGTGCAATGGGTTGAATGTGTCCCCCAAAGGTTCGTGTGTAGGAAACTTAAACCCCACTGTAACAGTGTTAAGAGGGTGGAAAATTCTATTGTGGTATTTAAAAGGTGGGGCCTTGAAGAAGTGATTAGATTGTGAGGACTGTACCCTCCTCAATGGATTGATCCGTTGATGGAGTAATAAGTTGATGGTTTAATGGGTGGTAATGGTCATGGTTCTGATGGCTTTCAAAGGAGAGTAAGTGAGGAGGTTAGATCTCTCTTTTTTTTTTAGCCAACCTCCATGTGAGGTAATTTATAAGCAACAGAAACAGACTAATATTGTGAAAAACATATGTATTGAATTGAACCAAATAAGATAGTTTTTTTTGGTTGAAAAACAGCTGAATATTAGCAATTTCATATAGTTTGACCAAACAAATTGTAAGACTTCAATATTAAGACTATCTATCAACCTAACAACATTTATAAGAATTTGGTATTTAGAAAAATAGGCTGGCCAGTTAGCTCAGATGGTTAGAGCACAGTGTCGTAACATACGGTCAAAAGTTCAGATCCCTGTACCAGCCAGCAGCCCTGCCACCCACCCCTGTCAAATAAAGAAATATAGATCTATAAATCAGTTGGACAACTCAAGAGAAAAATGAAGAAATGCTAAAGCAATTTACCACAAAGGACATACAAATAGATAACAAACATGTAAACATGTTCAACCTCACTACTAACTGGGAAATGCAAATTAAAATAACTACAAATTATCTTATTGCCCATGAGAGTATTCACGTGATAACATCAACTATAGAGAAGGACATGGAAAGAGACATATAATGATGGTTAAAAAAAAAAAAAGTGTACAAATCTCTGAGGGCAAAATGGAAGTTACTTATCAAAACAAAAATGAAAATACGTCATACCCTGTAATTTTGCTTCTATGTTTATGCAAGTGAAATACTAACATATGTGCCCAAGAAGACATTTATAAGAATATTCATTCTGATATCAGTTTTAATAACAAAAACTAAATGTCCATCAATTCCCCCCCCAAAATATAAATTATAAAAATTGAACCAATATATTTGTTTAAAAAAGAGGCCAATAAATATAACTTGGACATAAAGATAAAATCAAGAGCTATAACTTTTTTTTTTTTAAAAAGATGACCGGTAAGGGGATCTCAACCCTTGACTTGGTGTTGTCAGCACCACGCTCACCCAGTGAGCAAACCGGCCATCACTATATGGGATCCGAACCTGCGGCCTTGGTGTTATCAGCACCGCACTCTACCGAGTGAGCCACAGGCCAGCCCCAAGAGCTATAATTTTAAAAGTTATCAGGTATAGATGGTTTTACAGCTGAGTTTTGTCAACCTCTGAAAAACAATTTGTTTCTTTAATTACCCTAGACCATAGAAAAATATAAAAAGCTCTCTAATTTTTAAAAACTTTATTTCCAAATGTACATAGTAATACAGAAAACAGTATCACAAAACCCCATGTACACATTTTCAATAATTATTAATATTCTAGTGATCAGCAATTCAATCTGAGGCTAGCAGAACCTTAACACCCAAACCTTGACAACGACAGTACAGAGAGAAAACAATAGATATTTTTCATTAAGAATGAAAGAAAAAAATTCTAAATAAAATACTAGCTAAGGGAATAAATATAGCGGCATATTAGAAGTGATGGATTTTGGACGTGACTAGCGTCATTGTGCACACAATAAGCACCAGCACAAAACAGCCACCGGCCTTGTCTTCTACTCCATCATCAAGCTCCTCCCTGTTTCCCTTTACTAGAAGCCTCCTGACTTAAACAGAAACCCCTTTTGCTTCTGCAAGGATGCAGTTTTCCACCCCAATCTACATTAGCATAGTGACCCTCCTTGATAGTATCAGCCAGCCCTTGGCACACTATATAAGCTCTACCAACCCCACACCTAGTACTCTCCCCCATTTTCAGGGCAGCCCAGGGCTGTCCTCCATTTTGAGTACAGCCCAGCAGATTTCCTTCTTTAATAAAGCTTGAACGGTACCTGGCATCTCAGCTCACTTTCTTTCAAGAAGATTATTTATAGGATTATTCAAGAGTGCAAGGCCAGTTCAACATTAGGAATCTATCGACATAACTCATTATTACATCCAAATATTACAGAAAAAAAAGTTAATATCAAACAGGCGCTTGAGAAAATTCAGCAGTCATATAAAAACCGTGAATAAAGCAAAGAAACAGGCAAAATAATTATGAAAGAGACCATTTTCTAAAACCAACAACAAGCATCCTATTAAATAGTGAAATGCTGAGTGTATTTACACCAAAATGAGTAACGTGATACCTGCCAAAACTAATGTTATTCACCCTGATTTTGAAGACTCATGTAATATAACCATGAGATATTGGGTAAAAAATTTTAGTGAGTATTAAAGACTACTAAAAAATTATCTGAATTAAGAGAATTTTAATTACGTTTAAAAAAATCAACAGATGTTTTTTCTCAGTATCAATAATCATGGAAATAAAAAGGAAAAAATATGCCAGTAACAATAGCATTAAAATTTCCAAAACTCCTAGAGAAAATCTGTACAATCTCAGACAAACCTTAGAAGTGGGAGACTTTCATAAGCAAGACAGATATCCAGAAGCCATAAAGGAAAGATGAAAATATCTGACTAGATTAAATTTTTTTAATTGCACAGGAAAAGATATTATAAAGACATATTTGCAACACATTTGCCAAAAGTGCTATTACTAACTGATGAAAAAGATCAGCCCAACGGAACAATGAGGAAGAAAAATGAACCAGGCAATTTACTAAGTCAAATCCAATGGTCAATACTCTTATGAAAAGACGCTACACTCAACTGCTAGGAAAATATCAATTCAAAATAAGGAGTTACAATTTAGCAACCATCAGACTGGTAAACATGGGATTCAGAGGAACAAGTGTACTCTCACAGTTTACTTTTGAAAAGTAATCTGTCATTATCCACTAAAATTTTTAAACACAAACATACTCTTTGACCACTTTAGAAATAAAAAGCACCAACATATAAAATCATGTACAAAGATGCTTACTGCAATGTTGCACGCACAGGTAGAAACCCAGAAATAGATTTTCCATATTATGGAAAGCTTCTTATCAAAAGAATAAACTGGAAGAATGTTCATTTTGTATTGTTAAGTTGAAATAAGCTAGCTGGGAAATAACTGCAGAGGCTGATCTTTTTTAATTATTAAAAAAATCCAAACTCTGTATATGTCACTAAATGCCTGTACAAATGGGGAGAAAGGCTTAATTCAAGAGGAGTGGGAACTGGGGGTGAAGTGGAGTTGGTATATTCTCCTTGTTCCAAAAAGCATACATTATTTTTATAACTGAAGAGAAAAACTATTAAAATAAGTTATAATGTACAGACATGAAAATAACTCCTAAACAAAATGCTAAGATGCACAAATTACAGAATACATATGGTGTGACATCATTTAGGTATTTAAAAAATTCTCTATATATGCGTATACCTACAGAGACAGACATGTTCATACATGCCCATGTGTAAAAAAAGACCTAGATGGACATAACCAAATAGACAACAGTGGTTCACCTGGGAGAGAGAAGCAGCCAAAACAGTAGCTGGGAGGAATTTTAGATTTATCTCTACTATTTCAATTTTTACAAGAATATATTTATATATTACTTATAAAAATTGAAAAGATTGAAAACTACTTTTAAAATAAAGATTAACTTTACACAAAAAAATTTGGTTTTAATTAATACTTATTATTAGCAATCTCTTATCAAGAAAATGTTTATTCCCACGTTTTTCACCAAAGGGGTAAAACGTAAGCACTTTTCATAGTTTTTATTTTCATGGTTATTTAACCATTCTGTGTGGGTGTATTCTACTTTTAAATTACATATCTAAGCTACACGTAAGTAAAACAGTCTTTTAAGAAATATATTTTAAAAAGTCAAGATATTTTCTAGCTCAAATCAGAATGAGCTACTTTTAAATCATAAAAGGTCAAAAGTTTTAGCCACTGCTTATGTAATAACATATCAGAATTAGCTAAGTATAAATAAACATAATTAAAGCTTTATCCCCTAATTGCACTCTGCTCCTTAGATTAATGGCAGTACAAAATAGTAAATTCTCCCTGCATTCTTTGCATTAAAAAATACAAATTATATATATATATATTGTGAATGACATTCAAGAACAATATAATTTTAGTTTTATTATTTTTTTTACTATATTTATCATTACACAATGTAACCATTTTTTGTGGCCCTTTACCAATTTCTCAATAAACCCCCCTCCCTCGTTCCACCTCTGGTGGCCTCAGTAATGTTCTCTCCTTTTGAAAGCTCAAGGAATTACTGTGATTGTTCTATCTTTTTTTTTTTTTTTTTTTTTTTTTTTTTTTTTTTTTTTTTTTTTTTTTTTTTTTTTTTTTTTTTTTTTTTTTTTT